AATTACAATGACTTTCTAATAATTTTTAAAGTCACAAATGAAAATCTTGAAGGCAACTTTATGTAAATTGTATTTATTATTATTAGTAGTAGTAGTATTAGTAGTAGTAGTAGTATTTACCCTGAAATATCAGTTTTAAAATCATTCTGATCTAACTTTAATACATTTTTGAAGTCACAAATTATTTAAGACAACTATATGTAAGTTCTATTTATTATTATTATTATTATTATTTACCTTGAGATATCAGTTTTAAAATCATTCTGATGGTACACTGACTTCTAGTCATGGAAATTAATACAAATCTTTACTTTACCCTGAAATATCAGTTTTAAAATCATTCTGATCTAACTTTAATACATTTTTGAAGTCACAAATTAAAATATTTAAGACAACTATATGTAAGTTCTATTTATTATTATTATTATTATTATTTACCTTGAAATATCAGTTTTAAAATCATTCTGATGGTACACTGACTTCTAGTCATGGAAATTAATACAAATCTTTAAAAATTCATCAAAATCATGAAAATTTATAAAATCTTAAAGTCATTGGAAAGTATGTAATTGACTTGAAATTGTGCTTTGTTAGTACAATACAATCTGTATTTTGTAAGATTATTCAAATATGTATGCAGTAAGTATAAATGTGTGGATAAGTCATGGAAAAAGCCATTGAAATTAATTGGTCAAAAAGTGTGGAAACGGTTTTGTGCTTTGCAAACGTACACCAAATCCACTCCAGAGGAACTTTGAGTAATAAATGGCAGGATACGCCTGGATGATGTCGAAGCTTACTTGAAAATTTCTCTCTTTTTTTAAATCATATCTACTCTTTGATGGCTAACTTCTTTCTCTTCTACTTTAACACTCTACTCTGGAATTTTTACGGACAGGCGCTAATTACGCAGACTGCTTCCATTGATAACTTCAGCTGAGTCCACTGTACAGCTAGATGGAAAGTCGTGTCCTAATCCCCACCCTTCCGAATAGCGAGAGGCCCACTAACTGATTGCCTCCATTTTTCAGTGTCACCCTCATGAAAGCAAAGGCTGTGTATCCCTGTGAGGCTGAACACGATTCCGAACTCTCTTTCCAGGTTGGCGCAATCTTCCATGACGGTAAGTGTTAACGTTATCACTGCCACAGGCACTCACCCGAATCCACAAACATTTTGGATTTGGCTGGTCCTACAAGCACAAAAATAAATAAATCTTATCTCATATCAGCATAGGTGGAGGGAGGAAAGTGGGGCAGGGGTGTATTTGTAAACGTACACCAAATCCACTCCAGAGGAACTTTGAGTAATAAATGGCAGGATGCGCCTGGATGATGTCGAAGCTTACTTGAAAATTTCTCTCTTTTTTAAAATCATAACATCCCCTAAAATCAATTCACAAAGAATGAGACCGAGATGGAATTACACAAGGAAATGAGGGGCCACTATCAGAGCTCTTGTTTTCTGAAGCCATTATCTCATCAACTTCAGACAAAACCTTTCAGAACTCTTGCTGAGTTTGTCTTACAACAAAAATGATTTTGAACCAATCATTTTAACTTAAAAGTTAATTTTTTGTTTATTGGCACCCCAAATAATAAGTCATTTTACTTGGAGTATGGAAAATGTGCTTGTAAAAAATCAATATACAAGAATAACCAAACTCAGTTCTATGAAATTATCTAAACGAGCAAAAGCATCACCTGGCATGAAATGCTGACATGAAAAAATGTTAATTTACAAAAATAAATAAATAACTAAAATTGATGGGAAGGCAACTTTAAAAGTATGTGCATTAAATACTAAGGCCATGAAGGGCACTTTTTTTTTTTTTTTGTGATGTAAAATCTTGCTAGGCATTTATATGCATGTTTGCTACAAAATTAGAATGAAAATCAGATGGAATTTTAAATTTTGTATATTTTTCTGCATCTAGTCAGTTTGTATTATTTATTATTGTAAATGTGATATGAATCTTTTGGCACTTTTGTTCATCATTTTTGTGTTTTTCACAATTTTTCTGTCTTTCACTTGGACATCACTCGCCTTTCATCGTTCATCGGGGTGTTCCAGTGCATTACATTTGTTAAATGACAGGTTGTCCTCTATCATTCAACAAAATCATAGTAACTACCTATACAGACATCCCACTGTTTGCTCATGCAGGCCTGCACACGTTACTGATCGCTGGTTCAGTATTTTTCTGCCATTCCTGGCTTATGTCTAATACATTGTTCAGCATCCTCAGTATTCAGTGATAATTAACATTCACAGCTATTAGTATCCTCAGTATCCAAACCCTAACGTACGTAATTCCTCAGTGCTGCTCTTGCATTAAATCATTGCTGCTCTCATCTAAAAAATTACTTTCCACCCGTTATTCACAAATCTCCCACCTCTCGTGTGTGCTTGTTAAACACTTTGGCTAATTTAATAATTCTTTCAGCTCTGTTTAACACATTTTAAACCCATTCCGCTTATTTTTCTTCCAAAATGAACACAGAAAATGCAGAAAAAGTCAACAGACTTTATCAAGGATTGGCTATAGTTGTTAAAACATTCCTAACTCATACCCATTGTGGTGTAATTTACATTCATCAGCCATGCTAATTATCCACATAAAAAAAAAAAAAATTTTAAAAATGTGTCCATGGTTTTGCTCTGCAGTGACACTCTCCAGGGAGCCCGGATGGCTGGAGGGTGTGCTGGAGGGAAAGCGAGGACTCATCCCTGAAAACTATGTGGATATACTGTAACTCCGAAAAGAACTATCCTCACACTTCTCTTTATATACATGGTATCCATGGTCTCGGCGGCTCTTTCACAGTGGCACTGCTTGTCGTTCCTCCTTCCTTCTCCACACTAAAGACATTGAGAGACACAGATGTTGCTAGCACAGGAATTAAGTTCAAGTATAAGCTCAAATGTGCTGTATACATACAAGAGACTGCACTTTTTAGAGTTTGGAAATGTAAATATGTGTGGGAAAATATGCATCCGTCATTGTGACTTTGTTGTCCTCTTTTGTTTGTTTTTTGTTTGCTTTTTAAATCGCATGCCTCGTAATTTTAGCCAAGTAGTTTGAGTTGTTTAGCATTAGTATACTCAAAGATGCCTTGAGTATCTTTGCATTAAATATTATAAAGTTGCATTTAATTGGGCATGTGATGATGTATAATGGTAAACATGAGGAAACGTGTAACAATATGACAGTGCAGTGAACGTTGTCAATTTGGAGGGGAAAAAAACAAAGTTTTGTGTCTTGGTTCATTGGAACACTAGATTGCTTAGAAATGTAGTGCTTGTCGGTTATTGATATTGAAATTGGTATGCGATTATTAAATATTTTGCATTGATTAAAACTGATGCAGTGCCTTAAATTTATTACGCATGGCATGCGAGACGCTGTTCAGTAATTCGAACAGAGCATTTTTTTTATTTATTTTGTTTTTTTTTGCTATTCTGTATATAGGTTTTAATGTTATGTTGAAGAACAGAGACCGATAAATAAAAAGTAGCCCATACAATGACGTAAAATTAAATATTGCCAAGTCTTACATCTGTGTTGTATACATAGAATTATTTTTGTGCAAAGAAACTTAAAAGCCAAGAGCTTTCCCTCTTTAAGTGGTTAAAAGTTTACCACATTATTTTTGCAGAAACCTGAAAAATGGCAGGACTTCACTGATGTTTAATGAGACCATTTTCATTTTTCTAAGAGCCGTTGTTCCACAGGTTCAAATTTGTGACTGAGCGTTTCTGCTGTGATTTAAGACAGTGATTTATGACCTCTGCAAAGGTCTTGGCATTGATATCATTTTTTTTTCCCATGTTGAACTTCTTGTTGATCAATGTTAAATAAAGTATTTTATTCTAATATCTTGTTTTTCATTTTTATTTATATGCCAAACTAAATGTCTATAATTAATGGAAGTCACATGCTGCAGGGCCCCCTAATGTGCTTACTGGGAAATAAACTAAAACATTTGTGATATGACTGTTGTTTAATGAAAAATAAAATAAGATTGTGTGTAATTTTCTTAATGTCAATTAACTTAATTGTGTGGATGTGCTCCCATCAAGGTCAAAAAGAGACTATTCTTTAAGGCTTCTGCTGAAGAACTTTAGCTTGTCTAATAAATTCAAAACTTAATTACCGGATTAGATTAACTCCAATAGCCACTTTCACACATGAAACCCGTTAAATTGCAATAAAATTGCTGGCTATCTTTTCTAGTAAATGTACCACACATGCAATGGCTTTCCGTTATTTATCCGTATTGCATTCATACATCCGCACCAAAATGTAATTTAAAACTTGCTGATGCCATTTTCTAGAAATCCATTCAAAAAACAAGCTCTTTTATTTCAGTTAAGGTTCGTTATGTTTCGTTACCACATTAATTTTAGTTTCTGTCCCATTTAATGACATTTCTTTCCACAATGTAAACAATGATTTTTTACTTCTGATGTTTGACTCCTGAATTAGATTATTTAGAGCTTTGTGATTGTCTCAAACTCATAGTAAGCATTTTGATGGTTTATTGTAATTTTATTATCCGAATACGCAGCATTTTGTTACTGCCACCAGTCAAATGTGAGAATTTCGAAATATGTTCACGGATTTCTGTTGTATGGCAATGAACTGTTGTCTATTGCATACATTGCATTTAGAGCATACTGGCTTATTCTCTCCCACAAACTTCTACCCCTGGAACTGCTCTGCAGCTTTTACATTGAACTTCTCCCCCTTTAAGTGGATTAAATCTTCATTTCCTAGCAGATTTGGACTGCCGCCTCATATATTGGACTTGAGTTGGAGCACACAGCAGTCTAGGTCCTTACCATACACTGGATTGAGTGCTTAAAAAACAATCCATTTGCATCAAAATAGACCATTTTGTTGGACCCACAGTGCAGCGGTTAGCACACACGCACTGCGTTTGGAGCAACTGGGTCTGGTTTAGGTTATTTCCTGTTTTCTGTTCAGGTAAGTAAATGATGAAAGAATTTAAATTTTGGGGTAAACTACAAAGTCACTTTCAAGGAAAGTCAGTTGACTTGCTGGCCATATTTGCAAAAATTCAAACAGCTATTTTGGCATGCAAGATTAACTCCTATCTATTTGAATGGGGAAATACTGAAATCTCAAAGTCTGGTGGCCTATTTAAGCTCATATTTAAAGAATATTTAAAATCAACAGTAACATTTGCCATGAACTGTCTGATAAATATTGTTTCTTGCGCTCAAACAGCATTAAAAAGTGTATATTTTAAGTTAATTTAGCATGAATTTCAGGTTTTTGTGTGACCAGAGCCTCTAACTGCTAGTTGTCAGACTTTGTTCCGTGTTTTGTGTGTGTTTTGCTCCCCATGTGCCCTCCTTGCCCATATTTGGTTTGTTTCCTGTTCCTGTCCTGATTATGTTGATTTAATTCCAGATGTTCCCGGTTTATTTCCATTGATCCCAGGTGTGTCTCGTCATCCCCTCGTCTTGTCATGTGTTTAAATAGTATTCCCTGTTTTTAGTTCTGCGTCCGGTATTGTTCATGTCTACATGTGCTATGTGAGTTATCCGTGTTTCCTTGTTATCATTAAATCTCTCTGGATTGATGTACTCCTCGTCTCCCTCCGTTCCTTGCTCCTCACTCCACTCAGTAGTGCAACCGTGACAGAATACAGGACCAAGAAAAAAGATGACTGCAGCTGAGGACGCACTGTGGGGTTTGCGGCAGGGCGGTCTGAGGTTGGAGCGATATGTGGAGGGTTTTCTCGAGCTCTCTAACCGGGTGAGCTGGCACGACGCCGCTCTAGGTGCGTGCTTCCTGCTGGGGTTAGATGACGAGATAATCCGCTGTGATCTTCCGACGTGTGATTTTTTTTTTTTTCCCCTGATCGAGCTGATTAATCTCGTGCTGTTCTTAAACGGTTCAGATTTCGAAGTTGAAGAAGTAAAGAAACTTCCCAAGCCTCGGCATCCAACTCCCGCTGGAACGTGCCACGTCTCCCCACCTCACCCCACGCCGAGAACCTCCACATACCTCTCCAATGGCTCCTACCGTCTGCCCAACCCCAAATTCCCCACTGTCCTCCAAAGCTCCACCCTAGTCGTCAGCCCTGTACCGGCCGTTCCGATGTCAGGCCCGCCGGCCGTGGCTCACTCAAGCCCGCCGGCCGCTCCGAAGATAGGCCTGCCAGCCGCGCTGTTGTCAAGCCCGCCGGCCGCTGTGAAGTCAAGCCCGCTGACCACGACTCTATCAAGCCCACCGGCCGCCATTGACGCAAGCCCGCCGGCTGCCCAGTTTCCCCGTAACCCAAGGAGGAGGATGAAGAGAAAAGGACTGTTCTCTGCCTTCATCCCAGCCCCAGAGCTCGCTCCAGTGTCGGCTCCAGCCCCTA